TGTTATCGTTAGTACAATTTTTTTTAATTTTTATTTTTCACACCCTTGCAGTTGTTTTCATTTTGTTCTTCGAGTTATGTGTCACTTTCAATATTGCCCGCATTGCTAGCACCTATGTATTTATAGTATGCATGCTCTTATAATACATACATATATATGTACATACATATGTCTGTAACAGAAGTCACCGTGACCCATTAAACCGCAGTAACCGCATCAGCTGAAATTTTTAGATTTTATATAGTATATGTATGTATGTATATGCAAATACATCCATACACACATATGTATCTATGTAGATACATATATGTATATTTACTATAATTGCATAATTACATGGCTGTCCGTTTTCCTTAAGTAGCAAAAGGTATTGAGCATGACATATACATATACATATGTATGTATTAACTGCGAAGTATTTTTACTCAATCCACTCCAGTCTTAAAATTTGTATACGATTTACCTGCTGCGGTCCGTGGAATTTTAAACTCGCTAAAATACTAAATCAAACGTTTTAAAAATATCTTCATAATAAGTCAGGACTTAATACCGTAAAAAATCTTCCGAAATTTAACTTTTAATATCATAGCCTACATTCACATTTCTAAGTTACTCTATAAAATTCCTTTTGACTTCCACTATATACTCTCCGATACTTATCAAATGTTGCATATACAATCAATACTTAGCAAATATGCAGCTCTCTATAATTAAATACACACATAAATATATTTACATATAACATACATATTTGCATTTCCAATATTTCCAACTTGTCACTTACTTACGTGCCTTTGCCAACTCGCTGCAATAACAAAATGTTTAATTTCTTTGCAGGTGCTGTAAAACAAACACAATGTAAAAGGAATGGCGCAAAAACAAGAAGCACGCATGCAAAAAACTCGCAACGCACTTCTACTGCTTATGCACTCTTCTTTCTCTCCCACTGTACTATATAATTGCTGAAACCTAAATGGTTTGTTGTTGGAAACTGTAACAAAAATCAAGCAGTGGAGTGAGAGACTGCGTGTTGTTGCGCTAATACACYAATTAAGAGATCAAAAGWATTGATGAGTGGCTRTGAGAGWCAGCGTGAGTATGTTGSAATGTGYTACCGTTTGACYTTCATACTCATTGCAAATAGTGGAATTTGGTGAACAGTTGCTTCTCCGTTAAAGTGTAGAAAATTTGCAAACTGGACGATAAATTGTTAATAATTAATTAATAAAATGTACTTAAAAGTGTTTTAAAATGTTTAGTGAAGTGTTTAAACTGTAGAGCAAGTGAAAAGTGTATAAATAGTGTAGTGAAAAAGTGTTTTAAAGTGCTTGAAAGAAGTGGTGTGCGAAATCTAATTGGAATGGACATTTTTTGCGCAGTCGGTACGGGTTCGTTCGTATGTGTTGTGTGCGTGTATGCAGACAAGATGCAACAGTAGTAAAAAAATGTGCTACTTAAATTTCAATATTATGTGCTGCATAAATTTATTAAAATTATTATTTTAGAAAAAATAAGAGAAGTCAAAAGAAATGTGGTAATAAAATATGCCCTGCAAATCGAAAATTAATAAAATTCTGTCGTGAAGGGCCACATGCATAGTAATGAACGGGTATCGTTTCGTATATTATGTATGGTATGTGAGTACGCGTCGGGTTCGGTTCGTACGTATCGGTATAAAGGGTAGTGTGCGGTAGCGTGTGCGTAATTGAAAAAAAGAGCAAAATATAGTAAGAATTAATGAGTGGTAAACGTGTGAAGTGCGGTAATCGTTGTATGCGTTCGTCCATTGATATAAACAATAAGTTCCTTAACGACTAGGCAATGAATGGAGGTCCAATATAGCAAACAAAGGCGTCTTAATTTTCATATGCGGCAGTATGCAAGTAACAGGTGATAGTTTTGGTAAGTACTATTCTTTGTTACATACATACAAATAGTGCATAGTCTCATAAAGTTATAAGTTATAACGATCCGAAAACATAGCGTTCAGAGTTGTATTTGTGTAAACTTATTTTAGTATGCAATCCAACAACAAATTTTTTTAATCAGTATAAAAATTAATGATTTTACGACGCTTTATGACGCGTTGTGAGTACCCCAATTGTATATAAAATAAATATTCACTATTTTATGTACAATATTTCGAACTGTGCACAATCTTTACATTAGTAAGCACAACACGTTTAAACTGAAAAAATCGGAAACTTAGTAACCGATTACGTATTAAATGTTAGATTTTAATTCAATTAAAATTTCAGCAATTTTTTATAAATTCGGTTTTAAAGGGTTATATTTACTTATGAATCTCAAAAAAGGAAAAGGGGAGGACTAGGCTGATCGACATGAATATGAACAAGACCTACTGAGCCGTATTTTTCAGTTAATTATTGAAGATATATGATTTTAATACTATTTAAATTTCCTAAACAATTTTGAAGTAAAAATTTGTTAAAATGCTTTTTTAAGAAGCCGTCATTTTTTAAAACTCCCACTATCAATTGACTTGTTATTCGGCCATTGCTTGTATTAATCTATAGTAACGATATTTTTGTTTGGTATTCGGATTTGAATTAATAAATCATCTCTATCGCCAGACACCTTTTTTCAGAAATCTTGCTGTAGTAGACTATTCGAGATCAAGTGAATATAAAACTTTGCTTAATAAGTTACGCCCATTATTAAAGTATGTTATGGTATTACATAAAAGGCCTCTTTTAAAATATTCACAAAAAAAGCTGTTTTTCTGATTTGCAAGTAGATATAAACCCTTAAGTTTATTTTGTTAATTCTTGGTGCAAAATACTTAAAATAAGAACAGTTTTATTTCAAAAGTAATTTTTATTCCGCAGTTAGCAAAATCAGAAAAACGATATAATTATGTAAAATTATTAGCTTTCGTTAACTGTTTTATTTATGCTGACAATATCGTATTTTCCGTTATAATGTAAAATTTATTTATTAAGCTTGTATGCCAATGGTATTAATTTTCAAAAACGGTGTTGCTGAATTTTTTAACAAGATCCACTGAGGGGAGCTATAAGACCCTTCGATATTTCAAAATACAATCCTAATAACAGTTAGTTTTTATATATTTTTTTTTTTACTCATGTAACTTACAGCACTGCTAGCGTCAAATTTTATTCGTTTTATTTATCGTTTTCTTTATTAATACTTTCCCTATTTTACACATTTAATTCCACATTGCCGTGCAATAAACTCCAGACGACTTTATAGCTCTCCTTTGGATACGCGTTGAAAATGTGAACGACACTTTTATAAATGTAACATATTTTTTTACACACTTTTCACGTAAATTTACTACATAAATATATATGTATGTATATTTATGCTTGTTTCCCTCTTGTTTGTTTATTGTTATTTCACATCGACCATATCTGATAAATTGTGCAGAGATAAGGAAAGGTTGTAGTAGTTGCTCGAGTATTTAATGCCGTCAATTCCACTGTCATTTAAGTAAACAAGTCAATGCGAAGGCGAAACTTCACAAAATGTGACTCCATTACTGCAATAAAGTGGATGTGAACTCGTTTTTCACTCATTGAGGTTGTTACTCCAATTGCGTTCGCTGCTATGCATGTCTATATGTATGTATATGTACGTATATATATACGTATGCTATACACATATAGTTAGCGTTTTATGTTAACACCGTTTTACTAGTTTGTTTACAAGCTATGTATGTATGCGTGTGACAAATCAATTTCATTTAATTTACACCTTTATTGTGAGTAAATATAGGGTATTCAGGTAAGAAATGTTGGTATATACATACATATATCCTTATTGATGTGTTTGCAATAGTGTTTTTTTTTTCAATTTCCGGGGAGTTTGCTGGAATATATTCTCGGTAGTACTTATTACAAATTTTGTAATTGCGATGATTTAGATGACGAAGGAAGATTCTCAAGCAAACTGTTCTAAAATAGTAGGCAGTTCTTTCTAATACTAATTGGTTTTCGAGAAGCAAACGCTGAAACTCACTCACAAAGTAAAAGGAAAAATGAGCTAAAAGAGGATTAAAAAGAAAATTTAGCTCTCATTTCAATTGATTTCGACTGTACGGTTCCTGTTTACTTTAGTAGCGTTACTTGCAATTTTGTGCATAACCTGATTTTTTGGACAACCACCAAAATATAATCACAACCAAAGCGAAACTCTAAGAAATTGTTAGTGCCTAGTTAAATAATTAGTAATTTTCAAATTCACTAACCGCCTGTAACTCGTAAACGCATTCACGTACAAAATTTCTTCCAAGTTCCATATAAGGTTCATGTTTTCATAACTACTACCGAGTTCGTAGCAATTTTCGCTTCCACGGGTTTACATGAAAGAGTAGATATCAATAAAATCTCCACATGTTTTATATATTTGAGCAACAAGAGGTAAGAAATATTACCTCGAAATTCTCCCATCTTTTTATTTCCCCCAATGATTGTAATTTCGGAAATATTAAAAACTTAAACCGTTACTTTGAACTCTTTGTACGTCACCAGGATCAATTAGACTGTCAGTCCCTTTATTCAGGTGAGTGGTTATTTCCGTTTCAACACTCTCAACTGCTATTAACCAATTATCAGGCGGTCATTTGGGTTCGCTCTCCAACGGAAATAGGTAGTTAGCCATTGCAGGTTTAAAGTCGCACACTCCGTTTTGAATATTTCCTTGTGCCATGAATAAACAAAAATATATTCATAACACGCATTGGAAATGAAAGCAAATTTCTGCCAGTTAACAAGGCCAGGTAGGCAAACGCGTGTTAATAACTCGCTCGCTCATCCACCACATACTCCATTCCACCAGCAGCAACAGTACTTTCGTAAATAACTACAAAAGGCAAACTTGACAACAAGCCGTTAATTGAATTTGCTAGCTGCTGTTTGGCACCGAGCGCACGAATGTGAACGTACGCTTGACGAACGGCCGGCCAGTCGACGCGTTTCAGATTGCGCGCTTGATTTGTTTTAAAAAAGCATTTGTTTTTTATTTTTGCCTGGCCGTGGTTGCCTTTGGTGGGGGTGGTGGCAACGCTAGCGCTGCTTAGCCGTTTGCTAGCGTGTCTGTGTAGTGATTTTCGTATTCAGCGCTGTCATTTCATTAGTGCTTTAATTATTATTTAAAAACGCTTTTGTATATTTCTTTCGTGTCTGCGCTTTTTTCGGTTCTATGTACATATGTATGTAAATTGTGTAAGTGTGTGCATGAGAATTCTATGTAATTCTCTGTTATTTATGTCGCTGATTGCTAAGATGTGAGTGCACAACCTTCAGCTAAGCTCAAGCTGTAGCTTAAAATTAAAGCAGGCTTGTGTTTTATGGCTTTACTTCGCGGAAATACTACTAAGTAATCATATTTTCGGGGTTTAAGTGCGATTTGTTGGTTGTACTCGAAATAGTTTTTTTTTTTGTACCCTTTTCTTCTTGCTAAGTTTTGTATAAAAACTGGCATATTCTAAAACATTACAAACAATAACTTCAAATTTTAGGCTCATAGCCTTGAGTATTTGCTAAGGTGTTTGTGAGTATTCCAGCTCTTAGAAATGTGTTAGTAATGTCCGGTACTGATAAAATCCGTAGTTTTCCATATATTTTTTTTTGTATTTTTTAGAGCTTCAAAGAATATCATCTCTTCATTTAATTTTATAAGCGCTATTTAAAGCGTCTTAATATTACCATATAGCATAGTTTAAGGCTGTGTAAGGCTGATTTTTCTTCGAAGGGAATGTAAATATGTAGTTGAGCTCCAAGAAAACGAATCTATTTCTTTTACGACAGATATTATTTTTAGAATCTGTCATATAGATTAAGTTCTTTATTCGTTGAAAAATGTTCAAAATATAAAATTTCTCCAAGCTTAGCTAGTATTAATGTTTCTTGTTCTCCGCAAATTTCTAAGGAGAGTTAAAAGTTTCGTTAAATTCAAAAGCGTTTAAGTCAACGACTGAAAGAGTATGTTAGGTTACTAAGAGTAAAGAGGTGCACAGGATACCTTTGAAGATCATGTTAAATAAAATGAGTGTTTCAGTTTTTGAATCTAAAACTAGAGCCTACAGTAACTTTTTCGAAAAACAGAGGCAGTAATCCCATTACGAACAAGACTTACGCGAGTGCTAGAATATTTTAGATGTTAAATGGGTCATACTAACGGAACGTTCTTTAGCTTCAGGATATTTTGGGTCTCCGTTTGTGCCGACATTGACCTGAATGAGTTTTCTTTCTTGTTAAAAAAAAAAATTTTGGAGTTATGTACTATCTTGAAAAATTTTTGTGCCAGTCAAATCAATTTGCTTTTAGGGACGGTATGCGATAGAAATATTTTCTCGTAATATACTGAAAAACTTGTACTGTGGGCAAAAAATAGTAAGACTTTTTAATTTTAATTAAAATTTAATTAAATTGTTATTAATTAAAT